ACGTGCCCCTCTGATGACCCAGAGGCATGCACATCTTCAACCCTGGGGATAGCGTGGAGGGAACTCTGGCAGCACCAGGGGCATCTCGAATGTAATACTGATATGGAAGTCACCTGCAACAGAGCTTAACACGGGTGTCAATAATTTTAGTGGGGAAACTGAGGCTCACATAGGTTAAATGTTTGCCCTGTGATAACTAGCTAATAGATATCAGACCTGGAACTTGGCCATGTCTCCAAAACCCGGTTGCCCTGCTCTGCTAAGTCACTGGCCTAGGTTCTGGGGGCCGGGATGGGGGGGTCAGGGGCGGGCAGGGGAATGTGGGGACCACTGGTTACTGGGGGGGGGCTCCAACCCTGCCCCAACCTGGCCTCCACTCACCGGTCTTGGAGGACATAGCCTCTTGACAGCAGCAGACCCTGTGAGCACTGTGGGCTGGGTCACCACCCTTGACCTTGCAATTCTCACACTTGTGGACTCAGGTGGTTCCTTCCAGAGCCCTCGGAGTCCTGTGGGTATAGTCCTAGCCTAGCCACCAGCCACGAGGGAGGGTTACCAAGTAGACCTCTGCCATGGCCTGGCACACAATAGATGCTCTGACATTAAGCAGTAGATCGGGCATGGTGGCTCACACTTGTAATCCTAACACTTTGGGAAGTGGAGGCGGGAGGATTGCTTGAGTCCAGGAGTTCAAGACCAGCCTAGGCAATGTAGCAAGAACTCCTTTACAAAAAAAAAAAATAGCAGCGTGTGGTGTTGTGCACCTGAAGTCCTAGCTACTAAGGAGGCTAGAGCGGGAAGATCACTTGAGCCCAGGAGTTGGAGACTGTGGTGAGCCGTGATTGTGCTACACTCTGGGCTGGGTGACAGAGCAAGACACTGACTCAAAAAAAAAAAAGTAGCGGTTTAACAAAAATAACCAATGTTAAGTATAAAACACGTTTGCTACTTAGAAATCACTAAACTGTTTTAAAGCAAATTCATCCGTTTCTTCCTCTTATTCCTGTCTACTGAGTTCTATATTTTTCATTTTCAAGTTTCCCACTTGGTTTTTTTTTTTTTTTTTAACTATTTGCCTATTTTCCCATACATACTCCTATAATGTCCTCCCTTTTCTCACAGAGAACATCGAGTACCTTGGTTTCATTGTATTTTATTCATTTTTTTATGAGACAGGGTCTTACTGTATTGCCCAGGCTGCTGCACAGTGGCACGATCATATTTTACTGCAGCCTTGACCTCCTGGCCTCCAGTGATCCTCCTGCCTCAGCCTCCTGAGTAGCTGCGACTCCTGAGTCATCACACTGGGCTGCTTTTAATACTTTGTATGAGATGAGGGTTGTGCTACGTTGCCCTTGGTCTTGAATGCTTGGCCTCAAGCCATCCTCCCGCCTCATCCTCCCCAAATGCTGGGATTACTGGTGTGCACCACTGTGCCCGGCTCTGAATCTGACTTTTAAGCCCTGGTCTGCTGCCCACAGACTCTGCTTCCTCGGATGTGAGTCTCCCGGCATGTGTGTGTGTTGTGTCCATCATGTGCTGGCTTTCCTGAGGTGCTGAGTGCTTCCCTCTGGGTGCCATCCATGTGACGGAGTGACCTGTCCTTTGGAGGGTGATGGGAGCCACTGCCTCTGCTGTTGTCAGTGACGGGGGAGGCCTGGGCCCTGTGGCTGGTGGCCGATGTCCTTGGCTTCCCAGCCACTCTGTCCTCCCCACCATGCCGTCCCTGCTGCCTGGCTCTTGGAGATGAGAGTAGCACAGGCTGGGCCACCCAGTGCTGCCACGCACTCTTGCTTTGCCCTGGGTGTCCATCCCTCCCCGGTCCCTCTCCTGCTGCTTGTGAGCGTACACAAGCCACCCAGCAGGCCTGGCCTCCCTCTGCGGGCCTCATCTTCCCAGCACCTCTGGGTCCCCGGGCCACCTGGAGCACCCCTTCCTGTTTGGAGCTGGCTCTGTGCATCCTTGCTTAGAGCCTAGCCATCTTTCCCGCCCCCATGGGGTGATGCCAGGTGTGGTTCTCCACCCCGCTCCTGGGACTCCTGTTGTGCCCATGGAGTGGGGAGAGCTTCCCACACCCCTGGGCTTGCTGCTTAGTTATTCACTCCTTCATTTGTTCATCAACAAGGTCGAGTTGGAGTCAGGACATGTAACGGCCATCAGGAGGGAGTCGGGCTGCTCTGGGGAGCCCAGGGCCTGGGCGGAAGGTGAACTGTCACCCCATTCGGGTGTGTCACTATAGTGAGAAGCGCTGGGGTGGGTGCGTTTAGGGCGCTGTGGCCCCTGCTTTGGGTGAGGGCATAAGAAGGCCCTGAGGAAGTGGCACTTGGGGACAAGAGGAATTGTTCAGGTGGAGGGCAGCTTGCTTGTGGGAGGCCTCCAAGCAGGGGGAACTGACCAGGGGTGTGGGAGGGAGAGCCAGGAGTGGAGGAGGAAGAGCTGGGGGTGGGGGATGGGGCCCAGAGCAGGGTGGGGGTCTGATTGGCAGGGTTTGGGCCCCATGGGGTTTTGTGCTGTGTCAATGGAAACCGTTGATGGGTTTGCAGCTGGGAGCGCCAAGGTCTGATGCCTGTTTGGAAGGTTATGGTGGCTGCAGGGTAGAGAATGGAGTGGGGGTGGGGGTGGGATGGGGAGAGTAGGGCCAGGCAGAGAGAGGTGTCTGCCAGGGCAGGAGATGGTGGTGGCCTTGACCAGCGTGGTGGCGACGGGTGGACAGGCATGAGTGTATTCAAGTTCACTGGGAATGGACCTGACTGGACTGGATTTGGGCTGGACGTGGGTGGGGGTGGTGTGCGTGAGGGGATGTCACCGAGCTTCTGGCCTGAGTAGGTGACTGGTGACCCCTGCACAGAGACACAGAGGCGGGGCAGGAGGATCTGATGTGTGCCCATCCGATGGGCGTGTCTGCAAACAGGGAGCCTCCATGGCATGTCCAACCCAGGATGGAATCAAGGATGCAGTCAGTTCCGGACACAGGAGGGAGGGTCCTGTCCCGATGGGTACATGCGTAGAGTCTGTGTGCTGTCCTTCTCCCGCGAGGAGGGAGCCACCTTCACTTGCCTTGAAAGGTGGTGTCTTCAGCCGGGAGAGCCAGGGATGCAGCCATGGACACGTGGCGGGGCTGGTCCACAAAAGAGACTGGGTCTGGCCAGGACTTTTAGCAGCTCTTCCTTTCCTCATTGTTCCAAGAGTAGGCAAAGGCTTCCTGGGGTAGGAAGGAGCGGAGGAGAGTGTGGGTGAGGAAGGGATTAGGGGGGCTGGGCACAGGCTTCTGGATAGCACCCTGAGAACAGGAGGGCTGGGCCCAGTCTCCGGGCAGCAGGGAGCCAAAGAGCGCCCAGGAGGGAGAGGGTGGGCAGTGAGTGGCCGTCTCCCCCACTCCAAGGCCCGTCCTCAGTGTCCTTGGACTGAGCCGAGGGCTCCTGGGGGGCAGAGTCCTGGGTGGACTTCTGGGGTGTCACCTGCTTCCCAGCGAGGGTGGCGGGTTCTGGGCATTTGGGGCTAGAGACCTTCAGGCGAGGAAGCCTTCCTGGTGAAAAATAAACACAGCTGACTTCTCATCCCCCCACAGGTTTCAAGCCCTCAGGACACTGATGTTTCCTGCTACTGGGTCCTGGGTCGGTCCACAGCATACAGGGGACTTCCCTGTGCGAATCCAGGGTCACCTGGGCTTCCGTCCTGCCTCCCTGTGCCCTGTCTGCCCCCTCATTGTGTCCCATTGGGACACATTCCAGTCTGTGGTGTTCAGCTGGAGAGAAGAGGCTGGAGGGGAGAAGAGGCCGGCCACCTCTGTGAGGGCTTGCGGGATGCCTGCAGGATGGCCCGATGGGGTGGGAACCACATGAATGGGGCCTTGTGGTGGCTGTGGCTGTGTGATGGTAGAAGGACCATCCACTAGGTGCCTGTGTCGCTGCACTGGCCCAGGCTGGTCCTCTGACCCCAGATGCCTTAGGCTTGGGTACTGGCCTGGCCTGTTACTACCCACTGTGTGACCTGGGTCACCTACTGAGTGTCTCTGAGCCTCCCTTTTCTCTTCAGGCCTAGTACCAGATTCAGAGGCTGCTAGGACCCGTGTGCCTGTCATCCTTCCCCTCAGCTGAATCTACCTGCACCTGGGATCCCAGGAGCCCAGGCCTGGCTGCCAGCACCCGCTCTCCAGAGCTTTGTTCCCTGCTCCTGGCAGGGATGCTGTCAGCTATGCACAGGCTCGCTGTTGGGGGTGTCCACTTGCCCAGCGAGCACCCAGCCTTGCCCTCCACATGGGGGTGTGTGGGGCGGGGGCTGCAGGGTCAAGAAATTGGTGCAGCAGTGGGGACCACTGGTCCAGCCTGGTCGGAGCACCATCGTGAGGGCAGCAAGGTGGTTTGAGATGGAGGGGCTGCTGGCCACGCCTTAGGGTCCTCCCGCCTCCCACATACCTGGCGCCTTACCCACTGGCCTGAGGGCGCCCAAGGCAGCCAGTATTGGCCCTGCCCCCAAGGTGGGTCTGTGGGGGAGGGTCTGGGTAGGGGGTCTCCCATGGAGGAGGCCAGTCCCCCAGCCCTGAGCCCTCCTGGGACCTTACCTCTTCCCTTCCTAGGGTCCAGCTGGCCTGGGCCAGGTTTACTCCACTCTGGGTGGGACCAGCTGAGAAGTTTCTCCCATCAGAGTCTCAAGGGGAGGCTTTAGCCATCACCTTTCCATAGGGAATGTACCCTGTCCATGCAGCTGCCCCTCCTTGCACCCTGGGTCCCCCTACCCATACTCCCTACCTACCTTCCCTAGGAAATACCCTGGTGCCCTTTCCTATTCAGTTGGGTTGAGCGAGAGCTTTTGCCGCACCCAGAGGGTCCACCTAACCCTGACGGATGCAGCCGTGGCTGGGGGCCCTTGGGCACCACTGGGCACGGGGAGGGTGACCCAGGACATAGAGCGACCCGGCAGCCTGGGCTGGGGTTACCTGTCTGTGAGCCCGCCCCCAACTCGCCTCCTTCCTGCTCCTCAGCCTTCACTCCTCTCCACAGCCAAATGCAGCGCAGGTCTCTGTCTTAATGGAGGCCGCTGTGTGCCAGGCTCAGTCCAGCTGTACCACTGTCCCCGAGGCTTCCAGGGTCCCCACTGTCAGTACGGTGAGTGGGGAGGGGCTCTGAGCCCAGGCCGTGGTCAGTCTGTGGGTGGAGGGGCGGGGATATGTCCTTGGCTGGCTGTCCCCTGCACAGCCATGTAGGGAGCATCCCCAGATGAATGGACATTATCATGGGGACATTCTGTGACCCCTGCAGCCAGCTCCTGTGGCCCCTCTGAGGCTGTTGGGAGGAGGGGGTGACCCCAGAAGACCCCCCCTCAATGGGTGGTTCTGTACCACATAATCTTAGAGCCCACCCTGTGCATCCCCGCCGTCTGTGGATGGGGACGCCGGCTCCTGAAAACAGCAGGGGTGGCCAGGGCCCCAGGATCTCTGGCTACACTGCTGCCTCACCAGATGCTGGTCATCCTCAGTGTGGAAGGATGAGGGACACTGGGGTCCTGGCTGGGTGGGTGGTGGAGTGAACTGGGCATGTCTGCCACCTGGAACCCTCACAGACCCTGACCACCAGATGCAGCAGGTGGTCTGTTGTAAGGAAACGTTTTTGCGATGCTGTGGGGCGGGGCACCTGAAAGTGAGTCACAGGGTGAAGTCAGACCAACCCCCTGCCCCAGACCCTCTCCCACAGCCCCCACCTTGCTGAGTCTTTGGCGAGGAGATGTGTGGAATGTGGGATGTCATCAAAAGAACCTCCGTACATGTCCATCTTGGTTTCCTGGGCCATGAGATGCCTGGCCCTTCTCTTCCCCTGCAGGTTTCTGCTCTGTTCAGCCAGCATCTCCTCACCCTGGCTTCACAGAGCTCGATCCCTGGGCCGACCCTTGTCATAAAATACTCCAGTGATCCCCAGCACTTTGGAACTGCTCCTGGGGCGGGCAGCCAGGGGCCCCTCCCAGGCCGATGCCAGGGCAGGTGGGAGCTACGTGTTGGTGCCCCGGAGGGCAGCCAGAGGAGACCTGAGGAAGCAAGAGGGAGGAAGGAGGCCTCATGGTTGTGCCCTAGTGGTCTCCCGAGGTAGCCTCCCACCGAGGGCCGGGCTGCGGGTCATCCTGGGGAGGTGTGGGTTTCCCCCGAGTTCCCAGCTGGGCACCAGCAGCCCGGGGTATTGTTGGGTGGCTGGCAGTTGGCGCCTGAGGGTTTATTGAATGCCTTGTTAACCAGGACATCCCTGCCGAGTTAGCGCCAAGTGCCTGCTGCTTCCTGGATACTGTGAGGGCTGCCACCCAGGCCGAGGGGTAAGGTCTGTCTGTCTCGTGCAACGAGAGGGCCTCCAGATCCCCTACCCTGTCCCCACCCTGCGACATCTGGTCAGGCCTGTGTGGTCCCTCTGCAGGCTGGCCGGAGGTGACCCGCCCAGCCCAAGGGCAGGCTGGGATCCATGCGGGATGCAGGGGTGCTGGCTGCCATGCTTCACCTCTTCTCGGGAATTGTAATGATGACTGCAGGTGGGGAGTGATGCTCTGAAGACTTTCCGTCTCGTTTGTGTAGTCTTGAAACGTGCGCCACTTGACTTCGGTTCGTGTGGAGATGCTGGGCTGGCTTCTCTGGCTGGGGAGGGCCTCCTGGCTGGGGAGGGGCACTGGCTGCGGTCAGGTGGTTCCCAGGATGGGGCTGTGGCTTCGTGGTCTCTGATCCTGGGGGAGGGTGAAGAGGCGACCCTGGGGTTTGTCCTGTCCTGGCCATGCCCTCCATGAAGGGGCTGAGGACATGAGGACACCTGTCCTTCCGGCTCAGGGCCAGTCTTCTGCCCACCACCAGCTCCCAGCCCCTGGCCTTGTCTGGGCCAAAGTGCCTGGCTCTGTGCCTTCCTGACTGGGTGTGCCCTTGTGCTGAGCAGTCTGTGCCCTGAGACCCTGACATTCAGCCTCCTGGTCACCAGTGGGAATGGAGACTGGCTGGGAGCTCAGTGGAGGTGACACATCTGGGGAGGTCTCGACGCCCAGCACCGGGGGAGCTGAGGGTCCAGCAGGGAGGGTGTCAGGCACCCACAGGCATTGCTGTGGGGGCCCAGTGTCCAGGGGAGGAGGCTGTCTGGCCCAGGCCCAGGGCAGCACCTACCGAGCAGGCTCAGATGGGCACACCCAGGTGTGCCCTGTGCCCTGTGCCCTGCTGGTCTCTTGGCCATGATGTCTGTGTCACAGTCTCTTGTGACGTCTGGGCTCTAGACTTGGCCTCTGGAGCAGTGGCCCCATGCTGTGGACACCGTGGGAACACCCCACATGGTGGGAGGACTGGGAGCTGGCAGCGCCATCCTGGCTCTGAGCCCTGCTTTGCCATGTTGTCACCTTCTGAGTCCTCACTCCATCTGCTTCATGGAAGAGGAAATGGGAGGCCCAGCAGCTCAGCCCGCGGGCAAGTGGCTGAGCCAGGGCTGTCCCAGGGAGCACATGGGAACTCCGGTGCGGGCCACACATTGGCCAGGCAGAGAAGCCGTCTAGAGTTGTTGGAGGAGGGGCCAAGTCCCCAGGCAGGGTAGGCGCATCCTCACCAGTGACCCACTGGCGGCCGTTGGGTGGTGGGTTCCTGGGGGTGGGGCCCGTTGGGGACAGATGTGGTCTTCAGGGGGTGGAAGACAAGCTGGGGGTGGCTGCTGGGCCTCCTCCCCAGGCACTTCCTCCGGGAAGAAGGCGGAGCATGAGGGTAGGGGGAGCAGAGGCAGGTATGCAGGGTGGGGTGTGCAGGGTGGGGTGTGAGGGCTGTGCTGCCTGGGGAGCCACCTCCAGCCTTCCTGCCCCACCTAAGCTTCTGACAGTCACCTTCCCGTCCCTCTGGGCACTGGAGACCTGAGGGCAGGCACAGTTGGGAATATTTAACCAACTCCAATTATAATTAATTCCAGTTTTGAAAGTAAAAGCCATATTTTCTGGTTCCCCCAAATTCTCTCATTTGAACAAAAGAGTGGGGGAGGGAGGTAGGGACTCCAGGGTGACTGTGGAGGGCAGTGGGGGAGGGGAACCCCTCCTCCTTCCCTATCCTCCTCTCCCTCGTCCCAGATCACAAGTCAAGGCTTGGGTCTGCTGAGACCAGTGGACGGCTTAACTGCCTTCCTCCTGCCTGGGGTCCTTTCTGTAGAAGCAGCTGGCATGGCGGTGGGGGTTGGGGGGGTTGGGGGCAGACCGAGAGCATGCCTGCCAGAGCCCTCACCCCGCCTGGTGTGGGCCCTCGGGGCATCAGAGTTGGGGCCAGTGGCTCAGTTTGACCAGGGCTGGCCGCGGTGTCCCCAGGCTTGTGCCGTGTGGCCAGCGTGCCCTACTGGACCTCTCAGACCCCAGGGTCCCCTTCTTTCAGAGGGACTGGGCCACAACAGCAAGGGTGACTGCAGGTGAGGTTCCATGCTACCTGGTGGAAGGTCAGGAAGGGAGGCCACTATCATCCACTGATGGCAGCGAGGTCCAGCTGGCTAGGCAGGCTTTGTTGCTGGCTCCTGGGGTCACTACACACCTGGCACCTGGCACTTCATGAGGTGCAGCTTTCAGGCACGTCTCCTTGGGAGTGGCCTGGGGTCAGGAAGACTCCCAGGACTGCTGGCCTCCTTGCCCTGTGGCCCACTGTTCCTCGGAGGGCTCTGGGGTTGGATCAGAGCATCGATTCCACCAGAGCGAACAGGAATGGTTTTCACGGCTGAAAATCTGGCCTTGTCCTACCTTTGCATCCAGAGTCACGCCTCTGTGTGCTGCCCTGGCAGTGTGTGTAGATGCCCCACCCCCCAGTATTGTTGGTGACCTGGACGTCACCAGGCAGGCCAGGTCTTTAAGGAAAAGATGGCTGGAGAAACTTACACCTACACATAGCGACAGGGTGGCCACTGGTCACCCTCATGACTCCATCTCACGTGGCCTTGTGGGGCAAGGGCAGGCTCTGAGAACCGAGGCCTAAGTCACCTCCCGTACTTTCTTGGTTCAAGAAACTTTGGCTCTGGTTCCCCTCAGGGCCTCAGTTTCCCCCCCGTCTAGCGCGCAGGTGGGTTAGATCTCTGTGACAGTTCGACCCGGAAGGGCTGGTGCTCTTACTCCAGGGCTCAGGCAGTGGTCAGGGCGGCAGAGCTGCCCAGCAGAGACCGGGTGGTCCCAAGGGCTCCCTGGAGGAGGTGGTGGACGTGTGGACTGGAGAAGGTTTGGGAGGTCCAGGCGGGTCCAGGCGAGTTTCCAGATGGAAGAGGCATGTGCAGAGGAGCAGAGAAGAGGAGGAAGTTGGTCTGGTCCTGAGGGGCTGGTAGGACAGGAGGCAGGGCAAGCCAGGCATCCTGAGGGTCCTCAGCCTGGGGGCGTGTGGCCTGGGGCCGGCCAGTGCTTCTGGGCACCTCCCGTGGACCTGACAAGCAGGGACAGACATTAATGGTCCTGCCTGGAGCCGCCGTGCCCAGGCCCACTCTGGGACCTTGTTGGGTCCCGCCCCTTGGAAGGGGCCTGTGTTCCCCACTGAACAGGAGGCCATCGGGTGGGGGTCTCTCCAGGAAGGGCTGGAGGTGACTGTGGCAGCTGGTGGGGCCGGCCTGGGCCCGAAGAAGAGCTCAGAGGTGCAGGCCAGGCTCCTGCCGGGATGGTGGGCTGGGGTGGGGCAGGGCCGGACAAGGTCCCTGGTGGCTTTTAGCCCCTGGCCCTGGCTCCAGGGCCACTATTTCTAAACTGGGATAATTGATGGAGAGGAAGCGGCCTGCCCAGCCCACTCAATGCTGCCCACTGTGTCTGAGGCTTGGAATCTGACCCCTCGCTCAAGGTCTAGACACACCCAGGGCTGCTCTCGGTGGCCAGCCAGGGACAGGCCTGGGAGCTGCTGCCCTGGCTGTGAACTCTGGCCCTCCAGGGTGCGGTGGGAAGGGAGGACAGCCGACTTTGTCTCCACTGCAGGGGTTCCTGGAAGGGCCGACTCTGGGCAGTGAGGTCACACAGCCTCTCTTCATCTTGTGCACCCAAGGGGGCTGGGACCCTTTTTAGTCCTGCTGCTTGCCACGGAGTCACTGTCCTGAGGCTGACAATGGCTCCATTGTGGGCTGACTCCTCGGGGAGGCAGCTTAGCGTTTGTCCTGACCCTGGCCTTTGGTTC